AAAGGAAAGGGAAAGGAAAGGGAAAGGAAAGGGAAAGAAAACCTACCACCACTCATGTTAGGAGATTAAATATAATTTATAATTACTTGATTTTTAAAAAATAATATTTTTCATGAAAGAAGATGTCTGTGGAATAGCCCCAACCATGTGGGAATACCTGACAAGTGCATTCAGAGCTCCTCTTGAAAACAGTCAAATCCTTGTACCAAAACAAAACTTGTACCCAAACAAACCAGCAAAAAAATAAAAAAAAAAAAAAAATCACTGCTTGAAATAATTGAAACAAAGAAAGCAATGACAGCAAGGGAAAAGAACCTATGGAAATGTAAGAAAAAATGAGGAATCATTTGGAAAAATAGTTGTGCAAAAGTTATCTGTGAAACATAGGTAGGATGTGCACTTGACTGGATATGGGAAGGTTTTGTTTTCCCTTATAATTGTCATACAAAAGGCTCCATTTGGGATTTTTCCCCCAGAGTTCTGTCTACCTGATCCTTTTTTATTTCCAGACAAATTGTAACATAACCTGGTGAGTTTTGTTCTGAGCTCTGTTTAGAAAATGTCCCAGAATGAACACAGGAAGTGACCTATTGGGATAATTCCTATAAAATTCAGGTTATTGAYATTTCYTGGGGATTTGGGGGAGCTGGGGCTTTCCCAGTGATTTGTTGGAAGCAGAAAAGGCTGGAGCAGGGCTGTGGGGGGCAGGGAACAGGACCTTACCGAGCTGATGTGCTTCTGGGTCTCCTTGACACGCTTCACCTCGGGCAGGTCAGGGATGGGGGTTCCCTTCCCAATGCTCTCCTTGTACTTCACCTGCAGGAATTGGTGAAAGGAAATGGATTTAGGGAAAGAATTCAATGAATTCAAAGAATTCAAAGAATTCAATTCAAAGAGCTTCGTCCTGATCTCTTGGAAAGTTTAAAGGATTTCATGGATTCCTTCCCAAGGGATCGGTGCCAAGGTAACCTCAGCTGTTGGGTCACTGGGAATGACATTGAAAGGGGTTTATAAAACCAGGAAAATTCCTTTAAACCTGATACTCTCTGGCATTTCCACCAACCAAAAGAGAATTTGAGATTTATGAAAATCCCCCATACTTAGCAAAGGTGAGAATCATCCCACAACATTTCAGCAGCGACGGTGCTGTTGCATTTCTGCTTCGATAACGACAAAAAAGCCTTTCACAAGAACATTTTGCACATTTGGAACATTTTGAAACATTTTGCACATTTTGAGCATTTTGGAACATTTTGAACACATTCTGCATGAACAAATTGGCTGCAGTGTTAGTGCATGACACTAAATTACATCAACATTCAAAAAAAAAAAAGCATGGTGGAGGTTTAGGAGCTTTGAAAGAAAATTWATGGGTACAATTATTTCAATTTTAGGGCGCTGTGATGTTTTAGATAATGTCCAAGTTTGCAGGACAAAACAAACTAAAAAATCATCACCAGAAAATCCAATCTGAGCAGAGTAAAACACTTTTTTCCTTAGAGATGGTCCAACCTTGGAAGAGGTTGTGGAAATTTCCTCCTGTGGGATACTCAAAACTCATCCCACAGCAATCTGCTCAGTGAGGGAATAAATTTCAAAGGGTTGGAAAAGATAATTTCAACACATCCCTCCCAAACTTTTATTTTTATATTTGGGATGAGATCAAAAAGACAGCAAGAGTTTCATGGTTTAGAAATGGGTTGTAAGTAAGAAATGGAATGTTAATCATTAGAAAGGTTACTGGTGAAGTAAAAAGGGTGGGCAAAAATTTTTAGAAAATCATCCTGAATTGGGTGGGTTATGGCCAAACCACTGTTAGCRAGATGTAAAGGAAAGAAAAATAGAAAAAAAAATATTATTTGAGGTTGAATTAGCAGTGGTAGAGTGAGGATCAAAAATCAATGGTTGTGTACCGAGCTGATATTATCCTGGGTTCGTTTAACTCTCTGCATCTCTGGGGTCTTTTCAATGGTAGTTCCAGTTCCAATATCTTCTTTATACAAAATCTTCATGTTTGGAATGGAGACAACAAGGTTAAGCATCCAAAACACAACATTTCTGCTCCCAGACAGTGGATTTGGACACAACAGAGCAGTGAAAGACAGTCCAGAGATCAGCTCTGCTCACTGCCTTTCTGGAGGTGGCCAAAATGAGCACGATTTGTGGAAAAAAAGAGCTGATTTTTTATATTTAACACATTTAAAGTAGAATATARTTTATATAATAAATGAAATTATTAAATTTATTTCAGTAGAACATTGCTGGGSYWGRGGAAGGAGWSYCTGCCCATGGCAGGATGGAAGAAAATGAGCTTYAGGTCCCTTCCAGCCATTCCACGATTCCACAATCAAAACATTTCTGGGCTAATTTTAGGATTGAAGACAATGATTTGCTCTCATTTGTTTTATGCAATTTTTTTCCACTTTGTCACGGATTTTGCTRATGGTGCTGGAGACAAAATGCCAARGGAGACTTGAGGCACTTCATGGACACAGGAATTGGRCAACAGCTCAGGCAGACAGAGCACGAGGGGCAGCAGGACAGGGAGGGACTGACTGAGAACAGCACGAAGGAAAATGGATCATCATTAATTAATTTAACGACAGGACGGATTAATTCTATCATAGCTGTGAAAGAGGGCAATCACCCCATAAAAACAAMAGGAAAAACACTTTATAAAGCCCAGCTAAATCTACTATACCTGCAAGAGAAGCACTAAAAATTGTGATTTAATTAAAGATATTAATCTCTGGCTTTTGGGAGGGAACTGAAGGCAGAAGTGACCATACCGAGCTGAAATTCTTCTGGTTCTCYTTCACCCTCAGAATTTCTGGGGTGTCCTGGACCACTGTGACCTTCCCTTTGCTGTTCTGTAGGTCTGACTGATACTGGAGCTGTGAAAAGGTAAAATGTCAAACGTCAACTTCATGCTGGACAAACTTACTCACAGCTTTCTTCAAAAATGAGAAAAAGGTGGGATTTTTTGTTTATTTATTTCTGTACTTACTGTGCTGAAGTTCTTCTGATTCTCCCGGACCCGCTGCATTTCTGGGGTGTCAGCCACAGGCACRTAGTAGGGCATGCTCTTCTCTGCATCTTCCTTGTATTTTTTCTGATGGAAAACCCCAAAAAGGATTAAAACAGAAAACACAAAAGCAGCAATAAACAAACTGGAGTTATTGATCGTTGAGTAGTGCCTGTCTTTATGGAGAGTGAGTTCTGCTCTGTCTGACAGAAACTGAGATTACACCTCTGTGCAAGGTTTATTTCAGTCAGCAGGTTATTGAGGAGTAGAAAATTTAACAATCTGATTAAACAACAATTAGCTTTGCACAGCAAGAGAAATTACGGTGTCATTGGATAAAACAGCACAATTAATTCTGATTATTGCTGGAGAATTCTGGAGGCTTGCTGAGATCCCTGGTGGCTCCTGGGGCAGTTATTGGGGTGCCCAGTTAGTATTTCTGGAGCTCCCTGGAGCAGGATTAATGCTGCACTCAAGGTACCTGGCTGGCAAGGTTCTTGACCTGCTGGGCATGGATAATGTCRGGGGTATCCACCACACTGGTGTAGTTGGCTTTCTCCATTTCTGCCAATTGTTTGTATTTGATCTGCCGGGCAAAGCTCACGTTTAGGTGCCACAACTCGGGCAGGATTGAACCAGGAAAATCCCAGTTTGCCCTAAAAAAGCAGCTGGGGTTGCTCACAGACCTGGCTGGCGATGTCGGTGGCGTTCTTGGCGCGCACAAAATCCGGAGTCTCCAGCGCCAGCTCGGTCAGGCCCTTCCCGCGGA